TGGAGGGGTGTATGGAAACCAGAATAACAAATAGCGACAAATAATCATTCAATAATCACAGTTGGCTTAAATACCTGTACAGTTAGCCTACATACATGTTCTAACCAGATTACTATTTAGGATGGTTATGATTATTCAGTGACTTTTTGCTGTTGCATATTTGTTATCTGTGTTTTCCAGACAGAAATCTTGAAGAGGCTAAGGCTACATTTTCTAACTTGGATAATAGGTGGTTTAGAGTCTACAACTGTAGAGAGACATTGGATTGCAGCCATTGGTCGGCTTTACAGCTTGTATGACATGTCATTGTGGAGTCAGTTTCAGCAGACTGTTAATTGCAGATGTTAGGTAGTATTGTCTGGCAAGCAAGCAAGCAACAATCATGATTTAGTAATTTCCTAGCGTTAGCTATCAGTGCTGGCTACTTGTTTTATTTTGATTAAATGAAGGAGTTGTTTTCTTACTTAGGTCTTTTGCCACATCATCTAGCCCAATCTCAATAAACTGATCCACCTTTGGGTACTCTGGGTATTTTGACAGAAACCTGTTGCAAAGAGAACAGAGAAATGTTATTTGAACATACAAGTGCAACTAAAAATCGAAGCATATACTACAAATGTTACATATTTTACATGTGCGCTTTCCATAAGCACCAGTATTTCACGAACGGAGAAAAGCGCAAGCATTGAGGCAGAGATCTCAAAAAAGAGCAAAGTGCCTTTATGTCACATTTAGATCTGGACAGACGAATACATGACTGCTATGAACATCTCTGTAACGCCACCTCGTGGTTGATATGCCCGTGAAAAATCATTACATTTTCACTTGATTGTTGAGAAATCGAAGGTTTAGGAAAATTTGACTTAGTGTCTCCTCATCAAAAGAAAATCATCTACACGTAATATAACTTCAATCAAAGAACACATCAGTAGCTTTTTGGCTAGTAACCAATTTGTTTTCACTTCTCATTACAAATTCAAACATTGCCACGTCTAGCCAAATTTGGCGCTAAACGGTTAACCAGGCTACAACGCTCGTTTCACTTACTTCTGACACAGAAGGCCAAGCGACTTGTCTTTGCGGCTAATAGTGATCTTGCTCCCTCCATAATCGACTTGACTAGAGTCTTGATTTACGGTTTTGTCGCTCCCGAGTGCTTCAGATTGTCTTGAATTTGAAATGAGCGCGTTAGCTGCCGTATGAAGGGTCTCGAAGGTGTTAAAACTTTGACCAGGAAACAGTTCTCTTTTCTTGATTTCCCTATCGCGAATTGCCGGACTAGCAGCACTAACAAGCATTTTAAGATTAGCTGTAGGAGTCAGTGGATCGTCACTGGTTTGATTTGTCGAGCTCTTTGCTGTACCGACGACCTTTGGTGGAGTAGCAGGAGGTCCTTGATTCCAAACACTATTCAGCTGACTTTTGCAATCCTCGGCAGTGGGCGCTGCCATTAGTTGTTTCTCCTGCACTGGTGACCCATCAGCGACCACATTAGTCCCTTCACAGTTTGTAGCTATACAAGAAAGCTCCGCCAACGAAGGATATCGCCGCAACGAAAGGGAGTGCGATGAACTATTGCACTCGCTTTCGGTAGAGTTGGCAATGTGATCTGTATCTGTTGTATAGTCGTTATCCCAGTTTTCAGGAATTAATAGTGCTGGGTTTGATTCCATAACGTCCCTAACACAATTCCAGAAGAAGTTAGTTTAGTTAGGCTGGCAGAAAGAACAAACGGATGAAATGTATTCTGAATTTACAACAATATTCATGAGTCGTTACAAATGTCGGCGTCTAGCTGGCGCGTCCTAATAGTAACGGAAAGTTGTCTTCGATTTCAAACTGAACAGATCTCCAGAATGTTATACAATAACTGATCAAAATAAAAGTATTATAGTCATAGAATGACAGATAAACCTTGCAAAATATCCAGACTGTGTCAGAGAATTTGTAGCAATTTTTAAGACTACAGAGTGAAGAGGCGGGAAGCGCTAATCTCAGCGTTTGTGATCGCGTTACTACATTGGGTAACTTACCTCTGTTCCAAAATGTCTGTCAAGTTCTCTTCGAAGACAACGCCGTGCAACTTTGTCGATAATTCATGTGGGTGTAAAATCACTTTAAGGGCAGCAAGAAGCTAAAGTAACTGAAATATCACCTCGCCTTTCTTTCCCAGTACAATGAATCCGCGTTATAAGCGGTTGTGAGTTTTTGGCGCGTTCAATTTTACGCGGGGATTCGGCTCGTCACCCAAGCTCCACTATCATCCAATCAAACTCTCCAATTTCTATCATGTGACTTATCCCTGTAGTCTGGCCAGGCAGCTTAGCTAGATTTAGTCTACTCGCAAATTCAAATAACCCGTGGTTACCAAGCAAGCACGCTTCGCGCGCTCCGACAAAATGGCGGCTGCAAGAGGAGGTATTGAAAAAACCCTACGTTTTGTGCAGTTGTCATGTTAAAGTAATGTGATTTACTGGCTTTATATTATCTTTAGGAATTTGGAGACCGTATAAGGAGCTTCAGGCAAGCGTGGAACGAGCTTTATATAAGAAGAGTCCAGAAATATACCATGAACTTGAAGTTGCTTTGAAGAAGTTCAAACCGGATTTCATTTCTTTGCTGAAAAATCCGGTAGGTGTAGATTGCGTTTTCAAATTGTATGATATAAAGAATGATTTTTTTTGAAAAACTCATAAATCTATAGGAAGTAAAGCTCCTTTCATGTCTAATTAAAATCGAAAGAACTGATGAAAGAAATGTCTATTAATTTAATGAACACACTCGGTTTTAGTCTGGGGCCGGAAGCAGGATGGACATCTTTATGCAGCTTTATGTAGATTATTAGCTGAAGTAACCAGCCTTAATTTTAGTGTAGGATTAGGTAAAGCGATCAGCCTGTTTGCAGTTATAGTTTAAGATCATTTAAATAAGTTCTTCTAATTTTAGAAATAATAAAAAAAAACTTTTTCTGAGGTTCTGTGAAGTGATACAAGTAGAAGTTTGAGGGTGGTAAAGGGGGGTATAGATCACGTTTCACGGAAAATAAAGCAGCCCTTTCACAATTCACGAAAAATACAACATTGGCATTTCACGCTTCACGGAAAGTAAAAGAGAACGTTTTGGAAAATCACGGTTCACGGCGACTATGGAAATCACAATTCACAAGGAAAAAATTAGCCATTTCACATTTCACGGAAAAAAAAGGCCGATCACGAGTTACGAGTTGGTTTCCCTGTGCATGGTTATATACTGAAAAACTCCACATTCCTCTAAGGACACCAAAGTGGCCACCCCACTTGATTTTTGTAGGGGCATGTCACGGCCAGTAAACTGGTACTTTTGAACACTAAGACGTGATTACATGTGATAAGACATGTGGGGAACATGTGGGCATGTAAGCAGGCCATGTGAGCTTGGCATTGCACTGGATCTTTTTTTGACTTCTTTCCATTCAGTCACCGTGGGCTTCGCTATTTTGTGCTCTCAGCATTGGATATCGGTGAATATAAATGCTTCGATGGTAGCATTTATCGAAATCTGAGGGAATTGTCCTTGTTTATTTTGTATGTTAACAAACATGACTTTGAATCGCCTTGGTTTTGGAATGTTAATTGTGGGAAACCAGCTGTATTTTGATTGCATTTGTTGATTAGTTCCAGTCACGACAGATACATGTAGCTCAGTCTTTATCCGTTCAAATATTGTTTGGAATTGGCGGGAAAAGATCCATAAGAGTGTGCCTGAACCAAGGAACGGCAAATTATGTAAATTCTGTCTACTTTATTCATCAGGGGAAATACTCAAATCAGTCACGCAGAGTTTGTTTACGTTGACGATAAATGAGCACACAAGTGCAAATGTTTACTTATATTTGTGCTTCCAGCTTAGAATAATGTATATAAAATATACTTTTTCAAATTAACTATTATGCTTAAACATTACCAGTTAATGTGAGAAAATGAAGCACAAAATTTGAGTCTACGGAAACTGGCGCTGTCACACAACGAATCAACAAATCATAGTTGGTATAGGGACCTCTTAAACTGGCATGGACTTTGACACTATGATATATCTGTCTGTAAAACCTTGGTTGTCGATGAAAAACATTAATTTTAGCAATAGACAGAAGTTGAAAGTCAGCTGTGAAACCATTTATTTAAGGTATATATATTAAATTGATGGTGTCGAATGCACTCTCATAATCTTTGATTACTACTTGTAGATAGTGAGTAGCCTAGCAGTGCGTGGCTGTCAACAAAATGCTGGCTGCTTCTTTACATTTTTGAACTGTCTGTGAATAGTGGTATAATGAATCATATTCCTTGCGGTTCGATTCGATTTCGATTATTGCCTTTCGATTTTGATTATTTCGATTTGGTTATGCAAAACATTAATGTTTTTTGATTCTTGCAACATGATACTCAGTGTAAACAACATACAACCCTAAACTCTCAATTTGAGGATACAATAGTAACAGGAACATTACTAATCTATTACAAGAATGCAATTAAAAAAAACATCCAATTTGTCAGTGTTCTTCTTTGAGTTCTTTCTAGATCTAGTACACTCTCAGATTTTTCTCTAAAAAAAGTAACTTGTCTACATGTTCACTA